TTTTGTATTTTTTTGAGTTTTGCCCCTTTAAATTAGTAAAAATTTTTTCAAAATTTTTTAACTTGTGTGCAGTAATTTAAAAAGTTTTTTGACCCTTTGGAAATCATTAAAAATTCACAGGAATGTTTTATCAGCATGTGTAGTTGTGCACCTGGGTTTTTTTCGTCAGATTTTACAGTATTTGTAGAGTTATTTCCCTTTTATTTAGGAAAATTTTGGGAATTTTTAACTTGTGTCTCATGTAACTCAAAAAAGGGTTTTAAAATAGATCAATTTAAAATTTTTCAGGAAATTTTTGATCAAATGTGTAATTTTCCCTGGTATTTTTTTTCTGGAAATTTTCCAGTTTTTTAGAAATTTTGCCCCTTTACTTGAAAATTTTTGCCCCAAATTTTTTAAACTTGTTCCCAAATTAAAATTAAAAAAAGGGTTTTAAAATAGAGTCAATTTTAAACCCTTTCGTGAAGGTTGCTCAGCATATTTAGTTTTGCACCGGGGGGTTTGGGGTTGTGGATTTATCCAGTTATTTTTGAGTTAAATTTTCCCCTTCTTAGTAAAGTTATTTGTTGTTTTTTGTTCCCTTTTGTGCTTTTAAAAATTTTGAATAACCCCCTTTAAAAGGAAAATGATAAAATCCCCTAAATTACAGGAAAAATTTTTTTCAAAATCAAACTGTGAAGCATAACACCTGGGCTTTTTCATTTTGGATTTTTTTCCCCGGGTTTTTTTAGAGGGTTTTTGCCCTTGGGCTTTTCGTAGTATAAATTTTGGGAATTTTTTTAACTTGTTTCCCTGAATTTGGGTCAAAAAGGGAATTCATTGGGAGGCCCCGAAAAATTTAAAAAGAAATGTTGTAAGCATGGGGGTTTATGCATTTGGGGTTTGCTTGTGGAAAATTTAAATTTAGAATTTTTTAAAGTTCTTGCCCTTTAAATTAATAAAAGATTTTAGTTTTCAAAAAAAAATTTGGGCCTAGAGTCATAAATTTACAGAAAGTTTGGGGCTTTTTTGGGGGCCCCTGTCCTAGGAACATTTCTAGTTTTAAAATAATTCTCTATTTCTAAAGGGGTTTTTAAAACATCATAAAAATTAAAATTTAAAAAATAGACAAGGTTTTTTTGTCCCCCGCCTTTTTGGAAAAAAAAAAAAAGGGGGATATGAAATAAGGGATGGCCGTCATCTGTCCATCCGTCCGTTCCCCGTCTTTTCACTTTCCCGGAAAAATTTTAAATTTGGGTTAAAGGGGCAAGAGGTAATTTTTTTTTTCTTTTTTTGGGTGTTTATTCCCTTCCTTAATGTTTTTAAAATGGCTTTTTTTTTTTTTTTGGGGGGGGGGCCTTTTAAAAAGGGGAAAAATAGAAAAAAGCCACAATTAAAAACTCCTCCTTTTTTTAGGAATTCCCTCCCTCTGTCCGTAAAAATTTTGTGGGTTTGGGGCCCTAACTTTTTTAAATTTATCAAAGGGAATTTTTTAAAAATTTTGGGAAAAATGTTTTGGGTTTTAAAAAATAAATGTTTTCATGGGGCCCCAAAACGAACCCCCAACCCCCCAGGGGCAAGGGGCGCCTTGCCCCCATTCAAGGTCCCATTTGGTTCCCCCCTTTTTTAGGTATTTTGTCCCTGTTTCCCGTCCATAACTTTCCCCTTTTTTAGAAAAGGGAAAAAGTTTAAAAACTTGGCCCCCAATTGGTTTACAAAAAATTTAAAAACAATGTGTCCCCTGGGCAAAAACCCTCACTTTACCCCAAGGGTTCCCCCCGGTTAAAACTTGGAAAAGGGCAAAGATTTACTAGTCTGTTTTTTTAAAAGGTTTAAAATTTTTTTTGTCCCGGTCCCAAAAACTTTTTCATAAGGTTTTAAAAAGGGTTTTTTAAAAAAAACTTGGCCAAAATAAATCCCCCAAACATAAGAAAGGTGTCCCCTGGAAACCTGCATTTCCCCACCCCAAAGGTAAGGTTCCCCTTTTTTTAAAGGGGTCAAAAAAATTTAAAATAGGGTTTTTAAAGGGGGTTTTTTTTTGGGCCCCAAACTAGAAATTCTTCATAGTTTTCCAAAGGGTTTTTTTGGGAAAATTCTTTGGGAAAAAAGTCAAAAAATAAAAGACGATATGGGCAAGTACAACCCCTGCCCTTACCTTTCCAAAGGTCCAAAGGGACCTTAAAAGGTCAAAGGGTTTAAAAGAGGGCTGTTAAAATTAAAAGTTTTTTTTTTGTGTCTGGGGCCCCTTAAATTTTCCAAAAGAAACAAGGGCTTTTTTTAAAATACTTGGCAAAAAATGTCCAAAAAAAAATAAGAACGAATGGTTGGGGGCAAAGGGGCAAAATTTCAAATTTTCCCCAAACCCCCCCAAGGTTTTAAAGGGCCCCTCTTTTGGGTCCAAAAAAATTTAAAATGTCCCCTTTTAAAAAGGGGAATTTTGGGGTCGATCTAAAAACTTTTTTCCCAAAAAGTTTTAAAGGGAAAATTTAAATTTGGGGAAAAAATAGTCGCAAAAATGGGCTCAAAGAAATGTCAAAATACAACATGGGAACCCTTTCCCCCCAAAGGGGGCAAGATTCCCTTTGAAGGGTTTAAAAGGTTTAACCCGAGGGCCTTTTTTAAAAATATTTAATTTAAAAATTTATTGGGGGGTTCCCGGGCCCTAAATTTTATAAAAATTAAAAATTTAAAAAGTTTTTTGGGGCAAAAAAAATCACAAAATAAAAAATGAAAATTGTAAAATTCGCCAACCTTTTCCCCTCCCTAAAAAGGGTTAAGGGTAAAACACTTAAAAGGTAAAAGACAAACAAAAAAGTCCTTTTTTAAAAGGGAAAATTTTTTTTGTCTATTTCCAAATAATTTTTTTTTCATAGATAAAAGGTTTTTAAAAAAAATTTGGGCACAAAAATCCCAAAAATAAGAAAAAATTTAATATCGGGAAAAAAACAGGGGTTTTTCCCTACCCCCAAAGGTCAAAAAACTTAGAGGCCCAAAGTTTTAAACATCTCTTTTTAAAAAATTAAGGGGTATTTTTTTGGTTTTCCTTTAAACAATTTTTCCTTTCATATTTTCAAGGGTTTTTTTAAAAGTTAAAAATATAAAAAAAATTAATAAACGATAGGGTAAAATGAAAAACCTTTTAACCCCCAAACCCCCCAATTTTTAAAAGGTCCATTTAAAGGGGGTAAAAAGGTCAAAATAAAATGGGTTTTTTTTTAAAATTTCCTTTGTTTTTTTATTTCTTTAAAAAAAAATTTAAAATTGTAGAAAATTTTTTCCCACGGGAAAAGCCCCCAAGGAAAATTAAAAAACCTAAAAGGCCCTTTTGAAAAAAAAAAATTTTTAGTTTTAAATAAAAAATTCCTGAGGGGGGGGCCCTTTGGGAAAATTTTTTTGTTAAAAATTTCCCTTTGAAAATTCGGCCATCCAAAAAATTTCCAGAATGCCCCATTTTTCCCCTTTTAAATTTTCCGAATTTTTTTTTTAAATTCCCAAATAATTTTTTCATATTTCTTAAATTTTTCAAAAAACTTTTTTTTCATTATCAAAACCCTAAAAATCAAAAATTTTTTATGTAAAGTTTTTAAAAAGTTAGGGTTTTGGGGTTTTTCCATTTTTTTTTTTTTCATTTTAAAATTTGGGAAAATTTAAATTTAAAAAATTTTTTTTATATTTTTTTAATTTTGCCCCTTCTTTTTTTTAAATAAAAAATGGTTTCTAAAAAGGGAAAAGGGTTCTTTAAGTAAAATTTTTTTAATTTCAAGATTTTAATCTCCTTTTTAAATTTTTAATTTATTTTTGCCTTTTAAAAATGTTATTTTCTGGTTACAGAACAGGAAAGGTTCCAAACAGATTTAACTTCAAATAGAGAAAAGTTGAAACATTTGTATATATATATTCATCCTGAAAAATTTGATCTTTTGATTATCTGTTGTATAAACATAATTTTCTTACTAGGCAGGGATACTTAACATATTACCATGATACAGACAAAGAACTCAAAGTTCATTCATGTCTTCCACAATGGCATAATTGAGTGGCCATGGCCTTCAGAATGTTGCTGACATACTTCTTATTTCTAACCAGTAGGGGACTTTTGTATTGCTTGCAATATTTGATAATTGCTTGTTTTTATACTGGAAATAATAAAGGTATAAATAATTTACTATTACATATTCAAATTCACAATCCCTAGAGTCATAAGATCATCTTCCCAAATACTGCAAATTAATAATAGTAGTGTTTTATGCTCTTTTTTTAAAGTACAGTAAAATTAGAGAAATTCAACCTTGCAGCAACAGAACAAAAATAAAGAGTTGAAAGACATAAACATGTGGAGTCACCAAAGAACAAAAAAAATAACACAATTGTTTTTTCCCAAATGAAAGAAGAATCTATTAGATACAAAGAGATCTAAGTCTGATGGTAGGCAAGATAAAGAATACCAGTAGAAGTGAAGATAACCGTACGTTAACTGGTAAGATTTTAGATAATTTTTATGTACCAGAGAATGAAAATCTAAGAAACATACCAGCTGGGTCAGGTTGACACATATATCATTAAAATAAACTTCTAATTTACTTTAAAGAGAGAAAAGTTTTAGTGTCTATTTACCTTAAATATGAATTCATGTTACTTAAATTAACTATAATGAACCCATTCCTGATGCAAGTTCTCCCACTTTGGAGACAAGCATTGTGGATTTTAATAAAATATATCAGCAGTCAGTATAAGATGGTTCACTCATGGGAAACAAGTTGATAAAATATAAGATATATATTGCTCTCAATGTGAAATGATTAAAAAGATATCATTTACAAAGTAAATTTGGTATTATCATGAATAAGGAATATACAAAACTGTTCTCTGCATTTCTTAAAAAAATCCAAATTTTTGTGCATTTTCATTCAATTTCTCTAGATATATATATTATGTAGAAGAAAAAAAACCAGTTTTATTCAAAATAGAAGCAATTACCCACAATAAAATGTGACATATTACATACTGATATTATATTTTAGTTCTGTTTGGTCCGACTTGTGCAGTCTGTAGACAGGAACACTGAGGTGATGCATTGCGTCATGCAAACAATGGATGTTTTATCTAGGTCTACCAACAAAACAACACTTCCAGATGATACAGATTTCATTATACCTGATGCTAAAAGATCTGATAAGGCTAGTTATAACTTATAATTGTGATACTAATCTACAAGAGCTACCTGTAGTTTTACTTCCGCAGTATAACAATACATTAATCAAGAAAAATCTAAATGTTGTACATATATGCTACTTCATTTTTTTAGCTCATCTGAGCACACGGCACAAAGTGCTTTCGTGTAAGTTTTTTGTGATTGCAGTTTGTCTGTTGTTCATATATTATCACCATGTGGTACTCTAAACTTACTTTGTCCTGCACCAAACATAGTTATTGGGGTGGGGGGGGCTATATAGGAATCACTTTGTCCCGTCCTGTCTCGTCTCATCTCAGGAACTGGTAGAGATACAGTCCAACCCCGTTTATTCAAAGTGCCTTGGACTGTATATTTACTTCAATTAATCGATGGGTTTGAATAATCGAAATCGGAATTTTATGATAGACGAAAACTACTCCACTTTGACCAATCATAGCAAAAACTACCATTTACAACACACTTACTTCCTGCAATCAACTGAGAAAAATAAATATTAAAGATAAGATGCGTAAAAAATATTTTATTGGCATCGAAGACATAAAGACTTGCATATTATTCTACAATATTATACCTCATTTGCATACGCCCTTCTATATTAAATATGAACGTCATCCGGTCCATAAACCGCATACAGACCGGGGGCGGTCCATAATTCATATATGGACTGGATGACGTCATATTAAATGTTAAAGTTTGGGAGTTATTTTTGCTTGACAAAAATTGAATAACAAAAGAAGAGCATGATTTGTTTCCTGTATCGCTTGAAAATAATAATAAACCCGGCTAAGGTTTGAGATATTTCACACACTGAACACATAAATTATTATTTGAAAGCAAATTATAGTAAAAATGTCAGCAACAAAAGGGATGAAAGGATTTTGATTCGGTATAATATAACAAATAAAACATGGCCTTTCGGGCAAAATGCAAGTTTACGGACTGGTTGGTCAGACCTCGGAAGGTATATGTCCCTCAGCTGCGCTTCGGGCCATATACCTTTCTCAGTCTGACCAATCAGTCCGTAAACTTGCATATTGCCCTCTAGGCCATGTATTATTTATTAATTATGTATTGTTTCGTTTCGCGCAAAGCCTTAAAAATGGCTGTGTTGTCACTACGGTATTTACAGCTAAACTCTGGTATTTTCAATTGTAGCGTTACAATTAATGAAAAAAAATGTTTTTGATGTTTTGACAAATTCACATATACTGTATGTATGAAAATTATTGCTGTCATCCTCAACAGTAACAAAATTGGACACGGTGCACTAAGCTTTTCATTTTCGGTAATTTAAGTTGATTAAAGAACACACAAAGAGTAATTATCATGATTGTCTAAATACACGCATGACTGTTGATATTTTTTCACAAGTCGACCGGTCAGCGAATGGATCTGCGCCAATTAGTCTGGCTTCAAATAATAATTAGTCTGGCTTCGAATAATAGGTGTGAAATTCTTTCATAATTGTATAATTGAGACTGAAATTTTACTTTGAAAAATAGGAGGTATTCGGATAATGCATTTCGAATAATACGCTCGTATTTATATTGATTTATATAGAAAAAAAACCCGCCGATCTATTCGATAATGCCTGGTTTTTGAAAAAAGGGTTTTCAAATTTAACCCCTTTTGGGGGACTTTTTAAATTTGAACATCAAAACCAAATCGCAATGAACTGCTATGCCCAATTTTTCTAATTTCTATTTTTAGTTAAACGTAATTTATCTTATCAAATTTTTTATTTTAGAAAAATAAAAAAAAATGAAAATTTAAAAAATTTACAAAATATCAGCTTTAATCATTAGTCGGGGTGTCTTTAAACTTTTTGGGGCAAAGGTTTTTTTTTTAACTTGGGGCGGTCTTTTTCGTTTTTACATGGCATAACAAAGATTTTTTCTTAATTTTAGGGGGCCCATAACCCATTTAGACGGGCTTTTTGGGCCTCCTGCCCCCTCTTAATGAAAAACCCTATTATGAGCATTTAAAAAAGGTACTTCACTTCAAATAGTTTTAATTGGCAATTATTTTAAAGCACCTTGGTTTGCTAGTGAAATTGCCTTCTTTATATCAAGTTTTGTTCTCATTTTTAGCTCGACTTTTTTTTTTTTTTTTTTTTAAAGTAGAGGTATTGTTATAGTCGGGTCGGCGTTGCCGATGCCGTTGCCGTCCGCAAACTTGTACCTGGATCATAACTTTTTTATTTCTTGGTGTATTGTCTTCATACTTGGCCACAACAACCCTTGGGACAAGACCTTCCAGTAGACCACACTAACCTTGACCTTCATCCATAAATGACCTTGACCTTCAAGGTTAAAAGTCCAATTTTTGCTTGTTCATGCTGTTATGGCTGTAACTTTGTTATTTTTGAATGGATTGTCTTCAAACTTGAACATAATAATCTTCAAGGATATCCCTTAAAAATAACCAGCCAGACTTTGACCTTCACTCATAAATGACCTTGACTTTGAAGGTCAAATTATTGAAATTTTCATTTTTTTGGCTATTATTGGCTGTAACTTTGTTATTTTTGAATGGATTATCTTCAAACTTGACATAATTATCTTCAGGGATATCCCTTAAAAATAACTAGACAGACCTTGACATTCTCTAATAAATGACCTTGACTTTGAAGGTCAAATTATTGAAATATTCATTTTTTTGGCTATTATTGGCTGTAACTTTGTTATTTTTGAATGGATTGTCTTGAAACTTGAACATAATAATCTTCAAAGATAACTGTTAAAAAATATACCGAAAGACCTTGACCTTCACTCATTAATGACATTGTCTTTGAAGGTCAAATTATTGAAATTTTCATTGTTTTGGCGGTAACTGACTGTAACTTTGCTATTATTGAAGGGATCAACTTCATATTATAACAGAACATTCTTAAGGACCAGACCTTGTTGTTTATCAAACCCAAATTTGCTTGGGCTCTTTAATGACCTTGACCTTGAAGGTTAAATTACTGAATTTTCTCAGATTTGTGCATTAAATGACCATAATTATATATTTATTGGTGTGTGTGTGTGTGTGTGTATATATATATATATATACATATCTATCATCATCATCATCATCATCATCATCATCATCATCAACAACAACAACAACAACAGTTTTTCTATTTATAGAATTGCGTAATGTTTCTATTTATAGAATTGCGTAATGTTTCTATTTATGGAAATTGCGTAATGTTTCTATTTTTTTTTTTTTTTTAAAAAGTAGAGGTATTGTTATAGTCGGGTCGGCGTTGCCGATGCCGTTGCCGTCCGCAAACTTGTACCTGGATCATAACTTTTTTATTTCTTGGTGTATTGTCTTCATACTTGGCCACAACAACTCTTGGGACAAGACCTTCCAGTAGACCACACTAACCTTGACCTTCATCCATAAATGACCTTGACCTTCAAGGTTAAAAGTCCAATTTTTGCTTGTTCATGCTGTTATTGGCTGTAACTTTGTTATTTTTGAATGGATTGTCTTCAAACTTGAACATAATAATTTTCAAGGATATCCCTTAAAAATAACCAGCCAGACTTTGACTTTCACTCATAAATGACCTTGACTTTGAAGGTCAAATTATTGAAATTTTCATTTTTTTGGCTATTATTGGCTGTAACTTTGTTATTTTTGAATGGATTATCTTCAAACTTGAACATAATTATCTTCAGGGATATCCCTTAAAAATAACTAGACAGACCTTGACATTCTCTAATAAATGACCTTGACTTTGAAGGTCAAATTATTGAAATATTCATTTTTTTGGCTATTATTGGCTGTAACTTTGTTATTTTTGAATGGATTGTCTTGAAACTTGAACATAATAATCTTCAAAGATAACTGTTAAAAAATATATCGAAAGACCTTGACCTTCACTCATTAATGACATTGTCTTTGAAGGTCAAATTATTGAAATTTTCATTGTTTTGGCGGTAACTGACTGTAACTTTGCTATTATTGAAGGGATCAACTTCATATTATAACAGAACATTCTTAAGGACCAGACCTTGTTGTTTATCAAACCCAAATTTGCTTGGGCTCTTTAATGACCTTGACCTTGAAGGTTAAATTACTGAATTTTCTCAGATTTGTGCATTAAATGACCATAATTATATATTTATTGGCGTGTGTGTGTATATATATATATATATATACATATCTATCATCATCATCATCATCATCATCATCATCATCATCAACAACAACAACAACAGTTTTTCTATTTATAGAATTGCGTAATGTTTCTATTTATAGAATTGCGTAATGTTTCTATTTATGGAAATTGCGTAATGTTTCTATTTATGGAAATTGCCTAATGTTTCTATGTATGGAAATTGCGTAATGTTTCTATTTATAGAAATTGCCTAATGTTTCCATTTTTAGAAATTGCCTAATGTTTCTATTTTTAGAAATTGCCTAATGTTTCTATTTTTAGAAATTGCCTTTCTATTTTTAGAAATTGTGTAATGTTTCTATTTTTAGAAATTGCGTAATGTTTCTATTTTAAGAAATTGCGTAATGTTTCTATTTTAAGTAATTGTGTAATGTTTCTATTTTTAGAAATTGCGTAATGTTTCTATTTTTAAAAATTGCTTAATGTTTCTATTTTTAGAAATTGCATGTTTCTATTTATGGAAATTGCATGTTTCTATTTCTGGAAATTGCGTAATGTTTCTATTTTTAGAAATTGCGTAATGTTTCTATTTTTAGAAGTTGCGTAATGTTTCTATTTTTAGAATTTCTATTTTTAGAAATTGCATTTCTATTTTTAGAAATTGCGTAATGTTTCTATTTTTAGAAATTGCGTAATGTTTCTATTTTTAGAATTTCTATTTTTAGAAATTGCGTAATGTTTCTATTTTTAGAAATTGCATTTCTATTTTTGTAAAATTAAGTACAGGCTTTCTACTGGTCCCTACTTTTCCTACTTTTTCCTACTTTTTTCTTTTGATCCCTACTTTGCCCTACTTTTTTCTGAAATAGCCCTATTATCCCTACTTTTTCATTTTGAAATGAAAAAAAAAAGATATTGAAAGTGGTATTTCAGTTGCATTTTCAGTTGCAATTGATGAGTAGTTCAGGTGTGTGTGTGTGTCTCCTTGTGATGTCCATCCTTGAAAGACTCATGGTCAGAGCTGCATTACTGTATGTACTGCAGCGATTTTGCAAGTACTGGTACTGATACTGAATTACTCTTACAAAATTTTGCTACTACACAGGTACTGGTACTGCATTGCTGTCTTAAAAAGGTGGTACTGCTACTGCATTACTAGGCAGTACTTTTGGTTTTGATAAAAATGTCATCAATTTTTCTCATAAAGTAAAGCTGTAAATTCCATGTATTATTTTATTTTTGTGAAAAGTAAGTTATCAAATCTATAAATAATTTGCTGCAATATTCCTTCAAATGTTAACTTAGTATTTATCATAAAAAAGCACCAAAGACTTTAAGTAAAATTAAAATTGAGATAAACAGAGTCAATAACTCTTTACTGATAAAATATCCTTATTGCAATCTTATTACTTTGTATTTACTAGTAAAAAAAGAGCAAAATAAACACTAATTAATTACTTCTATTCTAAATAATCCTATTTCAAGTGATATTGTTAGCACCATAAAAAGTTGTTATTTACTTTGGTATAAATTGAACAGAGGTGTGAAAATGTGAAAGGCAACAAAAAGACTGGTGGGTTTAAAATGTAAGATTATTGCATTGTATTACCGTTGACTGGTTACAAAACAATAACATATGACATGAATATATGTTGTAATTATTGTTTGTAAAAAGTATGTTCGTTCATTTATATAAGTTGTAAAAATGTAATGTCAACTTTAAAGTAAATGATTTTATTTCTTTGTTGAATAATGTTTGCAATTATTTAGAATGACACTATGTATTTATTCAAACTTTGATGAATATATAAAAGTATTAGTAGTCTACTGGTACTTAATTACTTCCCCCAAAAAGTACTGGTACTGCAGTACCAAGCTAAAATCAAGTACTGGTACTGCAAATCTTGGCAAGTACTGGTACTTAAGTACTGCACCCTTAGTACTGATGCAGCTCTGCTCATGGTGCCTTGGCAAAACATTCAGCAACATTCTGCCTATGAGGTGCATGTCTTTCAAGCATGGACTGAACTGAAGTTACACACAGCCTGATGTGGTCTTGGTGATGGTATGTTTTGCTAATTCTTAAATAAAACAGTAAGAAATTCCTACTTTATCCCTACTTTTTAACATCAGAAATCCCTACTTTGCCCTACTTTTTGGTAAAAAAATGCCCTACTTTTTCCCTAGTTTTTTTGGTAGAGGCAGTAGAAAGCCTGTTAAGTAATGTTTCTATTTTTAGAAATTGCGTAATGTTTCTATTTTTAGAAATTGTGTGTTTCTATTTATAGAATTGCGTGGTTCTATTCATATATATATATACAAAATAGATAAACAAAAATAATGTGACAAGACAGACCAACTAAATTTATAAAAAAGAAACGTTAAGATATGTCCAAACCTTTCTTATTGTTTGCGTTTAGAAAAAGTAAAAAGTTGAGCGTTGCCCCCGCCCGGCGGTGGCTCTTGTTCATCTTAGTGATAACATTTAGATATTAATCAGTAACAAATGTTTAATTTTACTGAGAACATATCAAGCTTATTGTGAGAGGAATACTACATGATGTCAATATGGGCGCCATCATTTTGAAGTGGATGTCACTTTAGGTTACAACGTTACAACTATATAATTTTAACATTTATAGAATTACTTGAGTGAAATTTCTTGCAGAAAATAATTTCCAATTCAATTCTTTATTTGAAAATATATTTCAAGTCATTATCACAAATAAAACAGAATGCAAAATATTTTTCATGTTGATGTGCAATTTTAGCGGATGTTGATTTTTTAAATACTGTTAAGCTTAATTCTTCTGTCTGTTCGTCAGTTCTTTTTTGTGTCGCACATAACTCAAAAAGTATTTGACATAGAGTCATGAAACTTTACAGGAATGTTGACCAGCATGTGTAGTTGTGCACCTGAGTATTTTCTTGTGGATTTATTTAGTATTTTTAGAGTTATTGCCCTTGACTTAGTAAATTTTGAAATTTTCAACTTGTGTCTCATGTAACTCAAAAAGGATTTGACATAGAGTCATGAAACCTTACAGGAATGTTGCTCAGTATATGTAGTTGTGCACCTGGTGTTTCGCTTAAGAATTTATCCAGTTTTTGTAGAGTTATTGCACTTGACTTATTAGAAACCATTTCATTATGTTGTGTTGTTTGTTTCTTGAGTGCTTGAGTTAGAATCAACCAACTTTACAGGAATAATGATCAACATCACTGTGAAGCTATGCACCTGGGACTTTGCATGTGGATTTTTTTCAGTTTGTTAGAGTTATTGCCCTTGACTTACAGTAGTATAAATTTTGCAATTTTCAAATAGTTCATGCATAGCTCAAAAAGTATTTATCTTGTAGGCCTGAAAGTTTACAAGAATGTTGGTCAGCATGTGTACTTATGCACCTTGGGGTTTGCTTGTGGATTTATTAAGTATTTGTAAACTCTTTCCCTTTAATTAGTAAAAGTTTTTTAGTTTCAACTTGTGGCACATGTAGTCCAAAAAATATTTGACCTAGAGTCAAAAGATTGACATAACAGAGGAGTGTGGGGGCACCTGTGTCCTATGGACACATTTCTAGTTTTTATTTGTTTGGGTCGTCAGACCAAACAAATAATGGTAGCGAAATTTCAGACTCTAATTCTGTTAATTGCAAATGCCAAAAGTAGTCCGCTTTTTTGAAGCGGTTACTTCCCTTTATATGTTACACTAAGGCCGAAAAATTCAGGGGAGATCACTGTGTAAATATGGTCACATGACAGACGCATTAATTTTCAAGCAAAATAATCTTCGAATGGTCGAATATTTCTAATATTGTTTTATTCTTTATAGATATACATGCTTATAGTAAGCGCCATGATTATTTACACAAGTGTTAAACAACAGTTAGCGTCGTTACAAACCCTAATTTAGAATAATATGGTTTTCTTGAGACCGTAAACACATAAATTCACCTTGGCCGAGGGGTTAGCGCTCGCTTAGGAAGCGAGAGGTCTGGAGTTCAAATTCCAGTTAAGGCAACTAATTTTTGTTTTTCAAATTGTTTAAGTCAAATAAACATTGGATTGAATATCAGTGTTGCAATTAGTCTTATAGCCAATTTGCACGCTGGAATGAATTGCTGGCACTATACAAAAACAAATTTTATAATCTCACAACCTTCAACTTTCTGATATTCTGAGACCCAAACAAATTCAGCGCCTTCTGTGCTTTGATTTGCTGTAACTGATTAGTAAATTTGTTTCTTATAAATGGATTGCCTTAAGACACAGTAATGATATCCTTTAGGAAAAGACCTTTCTGAAAATCAAACTAGCTTTGACCTTGACTTTTAAGTGACCTTGAAGGTGTAATTATTGAATTTTCACTTTTTAAATTTTCAGATTTTTGGTAAAACTTTGTTATTAGTATACAATATGGAAATTATTAGTATCAACTTGAATAAACATGGCATATCAGTGCAATATTTCAATGCATCTGTGTGTGTGTGTCAAGATTGTTAACTCTCACAGTTTAAGTTTGACATAATTGTACGTCTTTTCTAACTTAAAAGATCTCTAAAAATGTACCTAAGTGGCTATAGCTTACTTACTTATGAATAAATTGTCCTCATACTGTGACACAACAATCCTTGAGGATAGACCACTTACATTGATCTTGAGTGATAAATGACTTTGACATTCAAGGTCAAGTGACTGATTTTTTTTTTGCCGTAACTGTCTATAACGTTATTATTATACATCCTTTCCAATCTCGCCAACTCACAGACATATTAACTTGAACATGAAATATCAATATTGAAAACCTATTGTTTTCTTAATTGCTTTGTCATGTTTCTTGTCTATTAGCTCATCTATTTCAAAGTGGCCAAGTGGTTAACACATCAGACTTCATTCAAACAAGAAACTTTACACTCATTGCTTAGTACAGATTTGAAAGTGTGTCTATAAGCTTAAAGCCTCCTGCAATCAAACTAAAATGAATTCTGTATAAACTAAACTTAATGTGAACTATTTACTAATTTTAGCAATGAAGAATAAAGACTGTTATCTTTTCTTTCTATATATCTCAGGTTATCAATCTATGGCTATCATAGCCCCTTTGTTAATATTGTGACCCAATTTTTAACATGAATTAATTTGATAAGTGCTCAATCATTGGTGGATGAAAGCAATGTTATTCTTCTAACATAATATAACATAATAGCACATATATTTAAGATGAATATTTAAGATGAATAATGTTCAATATTCTGTAAAAATGTTGTAAAATAATAAAACAATTTATCTTCACCCTACTGGAGTCATCCTCCTTTGAATTCAGGACTTTTATTAATACAGAAATCTAAGAAACTCATACTTGTTGTAATAAATTGCTTGTTGTTTTCTTATGCCTATAAAAAAAGGCAAAGTCATTTTTGTATTTTATTTATAGGTAGTTGTAGAACTCAAATGTACATTTCTTAAAATCAATGATATTGATACAATCAACCAGCAGTTTGAAGCTGAATTATTTGTACAAGCAAAATGGGAGGAGCCTCAACTTCAACACAGTTTATTTGGCAGTAAAGACAAGGTACTTGACTTGTTCAAACTATGAAACATTTGTAAACTGGTTGTCAGTTATTCAAATGTGTGAACATTTGTCTTTCAAAATTCTTAGGGTTTGTGAACATTTATGCATATAAAAGTCTATTGAAAATATAAGCTTACTCCTCAAACACAACACATGTAGTTATTTTAGCATAAATTTGGTAGTACTGAATGCACATTTTTGGATGGGAGGGGGGTGGGGCAAAACATGAAGTTAGTTATGCTGACTTACAAACAATATGATTTACACAAGGCATATTTTTTTTAGCTCATCTGTCACAAAGTGACAGGGTGAGCTTTTGTGATCGCTTTTCGTCTGTCGTCCGTCCGTTGTCCGTCTGTCCGACGTCCCTCCGTCCGTAAACTTTTGCTTTAAATGACATCTCGTCATAAACCACTGAGCCAATTTCATCCAAACTTCACAGGAATGTTCCTTTGGTGGTCACCTTTAAAAATTGTTCAAAGAATTTAATTCCATGCAGAACTCTGATTGCCATGGCAACCAAAAGAAAAATCTTTAAATATCTTCTTTTAAACGACCCTAAGAGCTAGAGCTTAGATATTTGGCATGAAACATCTTATAGTGAGTGTCTACCAAGTTTGTTCAAATAAAAGCCCTGGGGTCAAAATTGGCCCCGCCCCAGGGAGTCATTGATTTTCCCTATATGCATATAGTAAAAACTTAAAAAATCTTCTTTTAAAGAACCCAAAGAGCTAAGGCTAAGATATTTGGCATGAAACATCTTCTAGTGAGTGTCTACCAAGTTTGTTCAAATAAAAGCCCTGGGGTCAAAATTGGCCCCGCCAGAGGGGGGTCATAGCTTTTCCCTATACATGTATGCATATAGTAAAAACTTAAAAAATCTTCTTTTAAAGAACCCAAAGAGCTAGAGCTAAGATATTTGGCATGAAACATCTTCTAGTGAGTGTCTACCAAGTTTGTTCAAATAAAAGCCCTGGGGTCAAAATTGGCCCCGCCCCAGGGGGTCATTGATTTTCTCTATATGTATATAGTAAAAACTTAAAAAATCTTCTTTTAAAGAACCCAAAGAGCTAAAGCTAAGATATTTAGCATTAAACATGTTCTAATGGGTGTCTACCAAATTTGTTCAAATAAAAGCCCTGGGGTCAAAATTGGCCCCGCCCCGGGGGTCATTGATTTTCCTTATATGTGTATGGCAAAAACTTAAAAATCTTTTTTGAAAAAACCCATGTAGCTAGAGTTTAGATATTAAGCATGAAACATCTTCTAATCAGTGTCTACAAAGTTTGTTCAAATAAAAGCCCCGGGGTCAAAATTGGCCCTGCCCCGGGGGTCATTGATTTTCCTTTTTTGTGTATAGCAAAAACTTAAAAATCTTCTTTGAAAAACCCAAACAGCTAGAGTTTAGATATTAAGCATGAAACATCTTCTAGTGAGTGCACATGTCTACAAACTTTGTTCAAATAAAAGCCCGGGGGTCAACACTGGCCCTGCCCCAAGGGTGTCATTGTTTTTAACTATATGTGTATAGTAAAAACTTAAAAAATCTTCTTTTAAAAAAACCAATGAGCTAGAACTTAGATGTTTAGCATGAAACATCTTCTTACGGGTGTCTACCAAGTCTGTTCAAATAAACAAATAAAAGCCCTTGGGTAAAAATTGGGCTATATATAGGTGAGCGACCTCAGGGCCATCATGGCCCTCTTGTTTAGTTTTATTATTCATCATACGTCAACATGGAAAGTTTTAAAGACGATCATGGGATGGATGTTCAGGAGTGTAGATTGTAGTGAGCTTGTCATTTGTTAACTAATGATCTGTTGTGTTTGATAAAATCACTTAGTCATGCACATTGTATTTAACAATAAAACAAGTATACAAGTCACTTTAGACCAAAATATTTATTAATACAAGTATATTTTATTCTTATTTTTTCTTGGGTTTCAGGATAGTGAAGATCTAGACAAACTGATTCCATGGGAACCCAAGCTTATAGTAATGAATATAGATGGTGCATTTGTTCTGAATCGTAAGACATTTGACATCAGATTTCATGAACCTGGTTATAAATGTCCAGTAGTCATAGAACTGTGGCGCTTCAAAGGATTCTTCAAAGAGAATCTTGAGCTGGAACATTTTCCTGTGGATGTACAGGTATTATACACTTCATCTTACTTTTACCAAAGTTCTTGCTGGTTGTGAGGTGGTTGTAAAGTTAAACCTCTGGTCAAAAAATATTTCTGGTAGCCTTAACTTGACACTGTGTCTGTCCTTCTTATATTTATTATGTTGCATGGTGTGAAAACATGCAGCTTGATTGGAACTGGAATCTGGGACCTTCAAAATACCATTCTGCAGCTTTACCAATAAAACTATTAATAAAAATCTTGAATAGGGGTGATACCTCAAATTCACCAAAGAACACAATATATTACGAAAATTTCTGACCCAGTTTGATTGAGTCTGTTCCTAATGAAAAAGTGCAACATCGCTCTCGCCTCAGAGCACCACTTATGCACTATTCAATCTTCAACACTTACATGCTGGAATCACAGATCCCAAAGGACTAGAAACATTGATGTGAGCCTTTGTAAGTCTGTTGCAAATTTCAAGGGTTATAACAAATAGCACTATCAGGACTAAGGCCTCCACGGTTACACGTTTAAAGGGATTTGTTTTGATTTTCATTCATAAACGTTTACAATATTTTTTTACCGTTTAATCGAAATGACCATATTGTCTTACAAAATTTCTTAATCATTGCCTGTAATATAGGGTTAACGCACGTTTTTCAGTGTTATAACGTCTGCAGAGTACCGAGGAACGGTCAATGGTGCCCGAGCCCGGTAGGGTGAGGGCTCCAACGGTTCCGAGGGACTCTGCAGACTTTATAACACGAAATAAACGTGCGTTGACGCTATTATAGCATAAAATTTTAAAATAGATGCATGATGTCGATTTAATATAAAACACATACATTAAATCATTGCGCTTGGACGGTATTTATCCAATTCTACATGTTTTACGTATGCGTTTTATTTTTCCAGGGCCAACATCTTTGCAGAACCGAAGAAATTTCGAATTTTAATTGATTTAACAAAGCTTAACATTGGAGATTTATTAACTTAAGAAAAAATACACATTTAATTACTCTACCCAAGACAAAACATGACCCTCAAAAAATTTCTAGAATTATTTCTGATTGACGGTAGAAAAAAAATCAATGACATCAGAATTGTTTTTTTTTTCAAGCACACAAGTTTATAAAAAAAATCAGGCACTAAACATTATTCTCTCAAAGAAATATAAAGAGCATTTATCAATATAAACATCAATAAAACAACATTTTCTAATATTCATTTTGTGTTATCTTGTTTTGTAAGTTACTCGGAGGGTTTGTTTACATTGACAAAGGTCCGTTTCTTAGAAAGGGCGACAACTAAGATTAGCGGCGATGTCTATACGCCGTATCTCCGGCACAGTTACTTCATGCTGCTCGCTGTTACTTATGTGATTGATGCCTTCGAATCAATAATTTCAATATAACAAAAGCGCATGACTCTTTCGCAAACAAGGCCAAAACCTCATTTTTTTTGTTTGTTTACTGGGCCCTGTATGTATTGCGCATAGGTAAAACTGGGCTATAACAAGAGCGCGTGATTATGTTAACACATGGTTTTGGTCCCGTTATAGCATGGGCAAAAGAGGGAAAAATAGCCGATTTTATGCTATAATTACAGTTATAATGCCGAATAAATTTCTTGCTATGCGCAGCTGAAAAATGTTCGTGTTGTAAAATATCTGGACGAGGAGAAAGCGTGAAACTGTGAGCTTGAGGCAGTAGTTTTACTGTAAATTAGCTGGTTTTATTCTGGAATTATCCAATAAACATTTTTTTTTACAATTTGAACATAGTTTATTTAAGTAAGAAGTCATCTGATTACAACATATCAAGTCAAATTATAAATTTTTCATAAAATGGGGAAATGTAGCTTAAATTTATGGTAAAGGCAAAAGAATATTACTCCCTTAAGCCAAATAATTAATTAATATGTACAAAAATTTACTTCACAAAAATAATGACAAAAATGTAAAACTTTTAAAAATGTAGCTGTTTACTTAGATTAATGTTTTTATTTATTTTTTAGATTAATGTTTTTATTTATTTTTTACTTAATTGAATAAGAATTCTTCTTTATTTCATAAGTTATTTACAAATGCCTTTTTTAGCTCACCTTGCACAAAGTGCAGGTGAGCTTTTAGGATGGCCAACCAAATGGCGTCCGTCGTCTGTCGTCCGTCCACATTTTAAATATTCTAAGGACATCTTCTATGATACCGCAAGGCCAATGTTAATGAAACTTGGCAGGAATACTCTTTGTATGAAGCTCTATCAAGATTGTTCAAAGAATTCCATTTCATGCAGAACTCTGGTTGCCATGGCAACCGAAAGAAAAATCTTTAAATATCTTCTTTTAAAGAACCGTAAGAGCTAGAGCTTAGATATTTGGCATGAAACATCTTCTAATGAGTGTCTACCAAGTTTGTTCAAATAAAAGCCCTGGGGTCAAAATTGGCCCCGCCCCAGGGGGTCATTGATTTTCCCTATATGCATATAGTAAAAACTTAAAAAATCTTCTTTTAAAGAACCCAAAGAGCTAGAGCTAAGATATTTAGCATGAAACATCTTCTAATGAGTGTCTACCAAGTTTGTTCAAATAAAAGCCCTGAGGTCAAAATTGGCCCTGCCCCAGGGGGTCATAGATTTTCCCTATATGCATATAGTAAAAACTTAAAAAATCTTCTTTTAAAGAACCCAAAGAGCTAGAGCTAAGATATTTGACATGAAATATCTTCTAGTGAGTGTCTACCAAGTTTGTTCAAATAAAAGCCCTGGGGTCAAAATTGGCCCCGCCCCGGGGGGTCATTGATTTTCCCTATATGCATATAGTAAAAACTTAAAAAATCTTCTTTTAAAGAACCGTAAAAGCTAGAGCTTAGATATTTGGCATGAAACATCTTCTAGTGAATGTCTACCAAGTTTGTTCAAATAAAAGCCCTGGGGTCAAAATTGGCCCCGTCCCAGGGGGTCATAGATTTTCCCTATATGCATATTGTAAAAACTTAAAAAATCTTCTTTTAAAGAACCGTAAGAGCTAGAGCTAAAATATTTGGCATGAAACATCTTCTAGTGAATGTCTACCAAGTTTGTTCAAATAAAAGCCCTGGGGTCAAAATTGGCCCCGTCCCAGGGGGTCATAGATTTTCCCTATATGCATATAGTAAAAACTTAAAAAATCTTCTTTTAAAGAACTCAAAGAGCTAGAGCTAAGATATGTAGCATGAAACATGTTCTAATGGGTGTCTACCAAGTATGTTCAAATAAAAGCCCTGGGGTCAAAACTGGCCCCGCCCCGGGGGTCATTGATTTTCCTTATATGTGTATAGCAAAAACTTAAAAATCTTCTTTGAAAAAACCCAAATAGCTCGAGTTTAGATATTATACATGAAACATCTTTAAGTAAATATCTACAAAGTTTGTTCAAATAAAAGCCCGGGGGTCAAAACTGGCCCTGCCCCAGGGGTGTCATTGTTTTTAACTATATGTATATAGTAAAAACTTTAAAAAAATCTTCTTTTAAAAAACCCAATGAGCTAGAACTTAGATGTTTAGCATGAAACATCTTCTTATGGGTGTCTACCAAGTCTGTTCAAATAAAAGCCCTTGGGTAAAAATTGGCCCGGGGGGGGGGGGGCTATATACAGGTGAGCGACCTCAGGGCCATCATGGCCCTCTTGTTTGATTAAAAATCAGTATTGTAGAATGAATATTACTGACGTCTTTAAAAAATGACTAAATGCTTATAGACAGTAAGTACAGTTTGAGTTATAAAGTATTTGATAATGAAAATTGGAAATACAATTATTGATGAAAACAAAAAATAATATTGAACAACATGAACTTAATAAAGAACATGAAATAGCATACATATTTACGTGTACAGTACATAGATAGGAAAATAACATAACTATACTTTTTTTATATAATGAATGTAGAAAATCACATACCTGGCTGGAATTATCCAATAAACACTATTTTACAGTTGAACATATACAACTTCCCCTGCTTTGATTACTTATAAGTTTGAAAGAAAAAAATATTCTGACTCATAGGTATATTTTGGCGTTTCAGAAAATTATGTAAATATAAAACAAAAATCGTTATTACGCAAAGAAGTTACAATTGATCTAAGAAAATTTTGGTTTGAAGTTGGATCTTATCAATTCTAGTGGTTTATTCCAAATTAAAAAACGGAAAATGGGTGTTTACAACCCTCCACACAGCATTACCCTGCAAAAAATTGCTTGTGACATAATAAATTTTTGGTAAAAAATGGGGATACCATGCAGAAAATGTTTGCCGACTCAATTGTAATGAGCCCTGAACATTCTTTATTTGTACATGTATTAAAAAAAGAAAGTAAGTCTTCATTTGGCGACTCAAATGCATGGTGTATATAGTACTTAACAGTACCACCATTTAAACGGTATCGTTTCGGTCCTTAGCAATAGTGTAAACGGTAAAAATTGTAAATTTGGGGGCCTTTATCAGGACAAGACCAGTGTGTAAACAACTTTTGTTGTGAATACCAGGATCTGACAACATCAAATTTAAAATGTTAGATTATATATATTTTGGGCATTAACAATACCTTTCATTTCTGGATTCCTGTATCTGACAATATCTCTATCTAGCATTTTAAAAT